CCCAGAAAGCCAGAAATGAACAGAGGAACAATGCTAATAATAGCCTTCTATAATTATGCTGCGTACAAAGAGAGTCATTGTGGTAGGGCACAAGTGAAGCATCTGGGCAGATTTTATTATCTCCCTTTGCACTTTGGATCCCCCAAGATATTCAGTTTCTACTTTACAACTGAAAGATAGCATGGCTGGTGCTGATGTCATCACTTTCTCCATGCTGCAGAGGTGAATGCCAGCAGTTGAGCAGGTGGTCTCCTGTTATTTAGGATCCCTGAAAATTGGTTTTAAACTTTCCATGGGGGTCCTCGCTGGATATGCAAGACTCCTCACTGCAGTCCTAACATGAGGATAACAGAGAAGGGCTTGGTGATAGAGCTCATATGCTGATCTTTCCCTTTCCTGTTCTGTCATGTCTGGGGAAGAATGTTGAGTATCTGCTCTAAAATGTTTTATTTGTTCGTTTGTTTGGGATGGTTACTTTGATAGCTTTAGAACGATGTTTGATAAATTATGCAGTTATAATCTAATAATGTATGCTTTTGGGCTATTTCCCTGGACATGTCAGCAGTTGGCTGGAGCCTCCTTGCAGCCTTGCTGACAATCAGCACCTTTCATGTCTTCTAGTTCCTGACCTTAGGGCACAAACTGTCCACCATCAAGCTGGATATCCATCTGCTGATACAAAAGCAGAAACCACATCACTCCTCTTATTGATAAAAGTTGGAAGCGGCTACTCTACTTTTGTTTCTTCATACACAGTTTTCCTTAAATCCTTTTTTTTTTATTAACCAAACACAGAACACAAAGAAAAAGAATGCTCTTGCTGATCTTAACAGCAATGGGAGACCCTTTGATGTTTAGTCCTAGGCCAGTTAGGACATGAAAGATCAATGCAAGTACCGTCAACTGTGCCCAGTGAGGGACTGGCAACCCATGCAGATCTTTCTTTACAGGCATTATGGGATCCCCCTACCTTGCACCAGTTAGCAGCCAATCTGCCCAGCGCCGTACACAGGGTGTGTGTCAACATCAGCAAGATGGTGGTTTGGTATTGCAGTCAAAGCTATGCTCCTTTTATACATGTGGCAATGTTGCATGCATGTCCAAAAATGTCAGGGCTTCAATCACAACGCTGTTGCTCGCCACTTGCAGATTTGGACCACCACGACCCTTCCACAGGCATCTGTGGATCTGCCACATTTTACACCAATTACAACTTCTAGATAATTTCCAAGGGTGGACTTCTATTGACTATGTTACAGCCATCAAGAAAAGATCTAATCCAAAAATGACTTAATTACAAAATTCCTTTGCAAAAACTGACCAGCTCAGGAAGGGTCACAGCTGATGCAAAAGAACTGCTCACCATGACATCTACCACCAAATCCAGGCTGTTGAAGGTCAGACTTCTCAGACTGAAGATGGTTTTTTTTAAGGGGGTCCAATGCTGTCCAAAAGAGCTTGAACCTCAAAACCTGCCCAGTTTCTTATGTACGATGGTATACCTGCCTCACCCTATTCATATATGGCAGTATTTCTCAACCTTGGCAACTTTATGATGTGTGGACCTCCACTTCCAAAATTCCCCAGCCAGGGGAATGCTGGGAGTTGAAGTCCACACATCATAAAATTGCCAAGATTGAGAAGCACTGATCTATGGTATCTTGCCTCTTTACCTTAAAAGACACAGAACATTGTTTTTTAAAGTTTGAAATAGTAAAGAAATAGTTTTATTTTGTTTACCTGGGACAGGCAGAAAATACTCAATATCGAGTGAATAGATTGGCCTCCAATGCACTTTGCTGCTTTATGTAGGGGAGGCAGCATAACAGCATGAGGTGTGAACTGTGAAGAGCCCTTACCTGCTGATGAAAATGGTTTGTTTTCTTGTAAGGAAGGACAAGAAAAAGGCTGTTGTCTGTCCAAATGTGCTAAAGTTAGAGCAGCAGCTTGTCAAGTGTGCTGTTTTTAGAAAGATAAAAAAATTACTGCTTTAGAATGGACCATCATTTGGCTAAAGTTTCTTTTACTCCCTCCTAGAAGAAGAGGCTATTGTTAACATTAAGCCAGGAGTCACACATTTGCTTTACTCCTTCTGGAAATAAGAGGCCACAGAGACCTTTATTCTATTTTATTTTTTCTAAGGTTTTTTACTTTGGTTTCACACACACACACACCCCTCACAGCCATAACATTGTCAACACTGATTGTATGTTGTTAAGGAAGCAGTGAGAAACCATTTTGTCTTGGGGTTAAAATCACTAAGCTAGAAACTGGGGGACTGTGAGTTTTAGTCCTGCTTAGGCATGAAGCCAGCGGGGTGACCGTGGGCCAGTCCCTCTCTCTCAGCCCTTGGACGAAGACCACAGCAACAGTGGCATGCCAAGGTTGGGTTGTGGGAGTAATACACCCCGGGTGTAGGTAGTAAGGTGGTGCATTGTCTGAGGAGTCTATCCAGCAGGTGTGAAGTTGGGTCACTGCTGCCCAACTCTTTAGCACAGTGACTGAGATGGAGCAGGGTGGGCTGATGGTGGTGTGGTTGGGCCAGCTTGGATCGTGCAGCAACTGCTCAGCCCCCTGATCTGCTCCTGGTGTCAAATGTGCAAGGTACGTCACTGAATATTTCAGAAAATGTTGACAGGAAAAACGCCTAGACTTGTCCAAGCAGTTACCAGAAATCAAGACCGACTCCAAGGTAGGTGCACACATAAACACACATACACAAAGCAAGCAAGCGACAGGCTGTGGATTGCAAGGATCCAAAGGATGAGTCCATCACTTTGCTCCTATTCTGACAGCTTACCCAAACCTGCTTCATCTGTTCCAAAATTATGTTTTATTAACAGACTGTGTTCACACAACACACTTAACCTGGATTCTTAAAGGGCCAGTGGCTGCATCCACAGAACATACTAAGCCTAGTTCCTTTAAGCATTTGTTAATTTTTGTGCCCTAGCAACTTGTGCATACCCAGCCTGTTTGGTTTATTTATGATTCAATGTAATCCCCCAAATGGATTAATTCAGTGTTGTCCAAACTTGGCCACTTTAAGATGAGTGGACTTTTGGTGAA